TTAAGAGAGGAGTCTTTCAAATTTTGCCCCAGGCTAGAAACCCATTTTTATTCCAGTCATTGCAACTCTAGTTGCCATTAATCTCATATCACGTGCCGGAAGGCTTTAACAACTTTTTTCTTTTTTCAGTATATATGCTCTCTGAATTTGAATAAGTGAAATTTCACTACTGGATGCAGTCAATAAATATACTTCATGTTTATAGAAATTCAAAATTGCGTGGCAACACCGAGAATTTTTTTTTTTTTTTTAGACATTTTTCGTAATATTTATCACAGTTCAGTTAAATCAGCTTCGAGTGCAAGTGTCTCTAAATAATACTTTTGAAAAAATATTAAAAAAACTAAAACCCAATTGAATTAGAATTTGAGATAATCACAGTGATTTTTTACCAGGAAAAAAAAATTTGAAGATTTTTTAAAACTTTTTTTTTCACCCAATTCTTCCGAGGAATTTAAATAAAAATGTATTGAATGAAAATATATTAAATTCTTATAAAGAATTTTATCAAAATTTTCGAAAATAATTGAATTCTTTTGAGAAATTTTATTCAAACGTATTAATTTTATTAAAATATATTAAAATGTATTCAAAACAATTTTATTTCTGCGAGAATTTTATCATTTATGAAAATAATTGAATTCTTTTCAAGAATTTTATTAAAATTTTTAAAAACAATTGAATTATTACTAAGAATTTTTAAAAATTTCTAGAAAGTAATAAATAATAATAATTTGTAAACTTTGTTGAATTGAAATTTTTAATCACAATATTAACAAAGAAAATTTTAATTATTATTCAAAATTTTTGTAGTGCAAATAACAACTTCAAATTTTTAGTAATTTCAGATTTAAAATTTAAAACATTTTTTTATTAACTAATAAATAATTTTTAATTATTGTTTTCAAAAACTTTAATTTAATTATTACCAAAAATTTTAATAAAATTCTATGCAAGAATTAAATTATTTCAGATTCAAAATTATAAAAAATTGTAAAAATTGCGAAAAGAAATATAAAAATTTCCAGGATTTTAAAAGCAAAGTTTAAAAAAATTCTATATTATAAATGCAAAAATAAAAGTTTACCGAGTGCTAAAATAATTATTTTACATTTAATTATTATAACAATATTGTTACTATAACTTCTTCAAAATTATTTTCATCATTTCAATTCAATTATTAATTTCTAGAATTTTCAACTAAAATTCTTCGTTCAATTCAATATTTTTAATAATTTTTGATAAAGTTCTTTGAAAATTTTAAAATTCCTTTGTTTACAATTTAATTTTACGTGAAATTTCGATTATTTTGAAATTCTTCAATTAAATATATATTAGAAAAGAAACATCAAATAATTTTAAAAAAAATTTAATTAAACTTTTCCAAAAAAATTAATTTTACAAAATTGTTCGTTAAAAATATGAAAATTTCATATTTTCAAAGATTTTACTTTGAAACCTTTTCAAAATTCAATTATTTATAAAAATTCAAACTTTCAAAGCTTTTAATTTTCACTTATCTAAAATCTTAATTGAAATCAATTTTTAAATAAATTTATATCAGGAAATTCTACGAGACTTCAATTATTTAAATACAAAAATAAACAACTTATTAAATAATTGAATGTTTCTCAAAATTGAATTCTTCCGACGAATTTTAATATAATTTTTTAATAGTAAAATTATTTTTTTCGAGGAATTCGATTAAAATTGTATTAAAAATGATTAAAATTCTGTGATGAGTTTTATTACTTATAAAAATAATTGAATTCCGAAAAAGAATTTTATTACTTAAAAAAATAATTAAATTCCTAAAAAGAATTTTATTATTTATGAAAATAATTAAATAATTGCTAACAAATTTATAAAATATTTTTGTAAATATTGAATTTCTGAGAAATTTTTATCATTTATGAAAATAATTAAATGTTTGCGTAGAATTTTATAAAAATTCTACGATACAAATTATATGGAAAACAATTAAAATTCTACAATGAATTTTGTTATTTATGAAAATAATTGAATTTATAAACAGAATTTTATTGTTTATAGAACAAATAATTGAATTATTGAGTAGAAATTTATAAAATATTTGTAAATTATTGAATTCCTGTGAAATTGTTTTAAATAATTGAATTTTTTTAGACAATTATATATATTAAATTAGCAAATTTTAAATGTTTCTTAAAATTGAATTCTCAAAAAGAATTTTATCAGAAAAGTTTTTAAATAATTGAATTCTTTTAACGAATTGTAATAACACTTTTAAAAATAATTACATTTTTAGAGGAATTCGATTATGAAGAAGAATTGAAATTCTGCGATGAATCTTATTATTTATAAAAATAATTAAATTCCTAAAAAGAATTTTATTATTTATGAAAAGAATGGACTTATTGCGAAGAAATATGAAAAAAATTGGTAAATAATTGAATTCCTTTAAAATTTTTATTATTTAGGAAAATAATTAAATGTTTGTGTAGAATTTTATCAAAAATTTTTCTAAATAATTGAATTTTTTTAAAAAAGTTTTGAATTTTTTTTAGAAAAAATCATTGAATTGAGGAAAATTTTTTTAAATAATTGAAACTTTGCCAAGAATTTTATTATTTTTAAAGGTAATTGAAATTTTGATGAGAATTTTTAAACATAATTAAATTTCTGCGAAGATTTTTATTACTTTTGAAAATAATTTAATTTCTGCAATAATTTATAATTTCTCCAAAATTTAATTTTTTTGTTTTTAACTAAAATTTTTCTTTTATAAATCCATTATTTTTAATAATTAATTAAATAAATATTGACAAATTTAACTAATTTTAGAAGATTAGGAATTATTAAAATTTTTCAAAAATCTAAGTTCATTAAAATTTCTAATTAAATTCATTCAAATTGAAATTTTCGAAAATTTGTAATTGAAACCGTTTGAAGTTTATTTATTTATGAAAATTGTAAACGCAACTCTTTTAAAATTGAATTAATTTTGAAATATTGAAGTAAAATTATTAATTAAATAATTTATATATTTTATGATAGTTGTTCAAGATTTAAGTTATTTAAAAAGAAATTTTTGTCAGAAATTGAAAAAATTAAAGATTTTGTATCAAAATTCGTGATAATTTCTATAGTTTATGAGACAAACCAAAAAGACACCAAAATTCAGAATTTTTTTTTTACACTGAAAAAAAACTTATTTGATTCAAATAACCAATTAATTGAATATTTTTAATTAAATATTTAATTGAATCAAATAATATTTATTGGAGTGAATTAAATGGTATTTGAATCAATAATTTCAGTATTTGAAGCAAATATGAATTGAACCATTTAATTGACTCCAATAAATATTATTTGATTTAATTAAATATTTAATTGATAATAGTCAATTAATCAGTTATTTGAATCAAATAAATTTTTTTTTCAGTGTAAATTCTAAATATTTAATTTCTTACAGTACTTTTAATAAAAATCTCTGACTTTTCCTTGATTTCCCTGACCAATTGTACTTTTCCTGACTTTTCCCTAAATTCCCTTACTTTCCTGACTTGTGTCAACCCTGATAAAAATAAAGTTATCATTTTTTCTCAAAAACAGAGTGAAAAGGGAAGAATATGCCTAATTTTTTCTATTTTAGAGGATTTTATTAATTTAATTGAACAAAAATAGGAGATTAAGTAAAAAGAGAACTGTGATTCCTGCCTTCGATTCAAAGACAAAGCTTTAAGGAAAATTAATGATTAAAATTTCCTGCGAGGCAAAATCGAGAACTGAATGATTACAATAGAGTGGCATTCACTCTATAATATAGTGATTTTGAATTCAGTTTGACTTTATTATTTGAGAGTGAAGAAACGATTTCTCTTGGTGTGGTCGCACCCTAGGAGGAAGTTCGTTATAAAAGCACCGCTGAGAAGCTAACGACGACGATGACGATGATGATAATAATCGCGTTGGTCTCTCTCGCGTGCTCAGATCTTTGCTTAGATCTGTAGTCAGATCGAGCATATTCTCACGCACTGGATGCTTCAAGATATTTTACAAGATTTCATCGTGCACCACCACAACGGTCCCCTATAAGGATTCCGAAGTCAAGAGCACCACCCGTTAAAAACCATATGTGCAAAACGAATACTCCTTACGGTTAATGTGCTATTTAACAGACAGTTGAAGTACAAGGATTTTTCTTCCCTCTTTTTTATTCAATGAATATTGCCAGAGAAAATGCAACAACGAACTTAACTTGTGCATATACATATATATGTATATACGAGTAATGAAATTATAGACGTCATTAAAAAAGTAACACGAGTACAAGTCTACGAAGCAGCATCTAAGTTTCCTTAGTCCTTATTATATGGGCACTCAGCTATCTTCAAAACAAAACGACAAAAAGTTAATTGTAATTAAAAATCCTCCATATTCGAAATTTTATAATTGACAAGGGAATCTGGATGAATTATTTTATGTAGTGACTTTCTGCGAGATCCTTTTACTGTTTTAAAACCTGTCCCGTTTGTATTTAATTTTACTAAAATGTTACTAAATACTTTAGTAAATATTTACTATATAGATAAATTTAATATAAATGTTTTACTAAATCGATCAAAATCATAATCATAATCAATGTGACAAAAAAAAATATTCTTTATTTTTGAATATATACTAAAATTAAAAAGATTTTTTTTCAGTGTATGATATCCGAGAGTTTCGACTTGTAGATAATATAATTATTTGGTTGAATGTTAAATTAGTTTCATTACAAGTCTAACGTAGACTTGTAATGAAACCAGGTAATTTAACATTCAACCAAATCATAATCATAGGAAAGGAATTGCTAACTTCTTCCACCTTTAACATAATCATAATCATAAAAAAATCATAATCATAAGGAAAAACAGTAAAAATAGTAAAAACTATTCTGTTACCTGAAAAATAGCCATTCGAAACTATAAATTTAATAAATATTAATTTTTATATTTAATAAGTAGTCCTACCTTGTTGAATCGATGACAGCATTGCCCCTTAAAAAGTCTGCCAAGATAAGACCATCTGCGCACGGTGCCGTCAACTTTGAGAAGAATGTACACTCTGCAAATGGTCACAATTTGATTTTCCGCCAAAGGTATCAGCCAAAGAAATCCCGGTAAAGGAATCTGGAAATTTAAATTTTAAACATATAAATAATTTTTTAATTTCAATGTGTATAAATTTAACTAAATTGGAAATTTAACATTTATCAACTATTAGGAATTTTATTTACAGACTTCGCACTCGATAATTAATTTTAAAAAAGTACCAAAAAGTATCATTCAAACTAAAAAAAGTAGTAAAAAAGTACCTATCGAAAAATTAAATTTGACAAAAAAAAAACTCGTTTTAGACACTTCATCAAAACTGACAAAAATTCAATTCCACATTTTTTTATTTTCCTGACTTTTCCCTGATTTTCATCAAAAATATTTACTACTTTCTTATTCTAATAATAAATTGAATTCCTGCAACAAATTTTATTATTCATGAAAAAATTTAAATATATTTATAAAAATAATTTAATTTTTCCGAAGAATTTTATAAAGTTTTTTAAATAATTGATTTCATTCGACCAATTTTCTGCAAATTCTAATTTAAATAATTGAATTACTGAGAAATTTTTATTATTCATGAAAAAAATTAAATTCTTACGAAGATTTTTACAAAAATTTTTTAAATAATTGAATTTCCAAGAAGAAATTTATTACTTTCAAAAATAATTTAATTCTTGTGATGAATATTGTTTTTTATGAAAATAATTGATTTTTACAAAGAATTTTATTAAAATCTAAAAGAATAATTGAATTATTACAAAAAAATTTAATTAAAAATGTATTTAAAATAATTAATTTCTTTCGAACAATTTTATTAAAGTATTTGAAAATAATTGAATTCCTGTGAAAAATTCCAATATTTTTGTAAATAATAATTGAATTCTTCCAAAGAATTTAAAAAACATTTTTTTAAATAATTGATTTTTTTCGTGAAATTGAAATTAAATTTATAAAAATAATTACATTTTTTGAGCAATTCCTGTAAAATTTTATTAAAAATAATTGAAATCCTGCGATGAATTTTATTGTTTATGAAAATTATTGAATCCTTACAAACGATTTTATCAGAATTTTTTTAAATAATTGAATTTCCAAGAAAAAATTTATTACTTTTAAAAATAGTTGAATTCTTGTGATGAATATTATTATTTATGAAAATAATTTAGTTTTCAAGAATAATTTTGTTATTTATCAAAATAATTGAATTCTTAAGAAGAATTATTTATGTAAATAATTGAGTTCTTGGGAAAAATTTAATTAAAATCTAAAATAAAAATTAAATTATTTCAAAAAAATTTAATTAAAATTACATTTAAAATAATTGATTCCTTTCGAAGAATTTTTTTAAAATATTTGAAAATAATTGAATTCTTCCAAAGAATTTAAAAAAAACATTGTTTTAAATAATTGACTTTTTCGAAAAATTGAAATTAATTTTTTTAGAATAACTACATTTTTGAACCATTTCTGTAAAATTGAATTAAAAATTATTTGAAACTCTGTGATGAATTTTATTATTTATAAAAATAATTGCATAGTTGCAATGAATTTTATTATAATTTTGAAAAATAATTGAATTCTTATGAAGAATTTTATTTGTGAAAATAATTGAATTTTTCTATTAATTTATATAAAATAATATTAAGAATAATTAAAATTTTTTGAAGAGTTTTATTATTTGTAAAAATAATTGAATTCTTGCTTAGAATTTTATCAAAAATTTTTTTTAATTTATAAAGTTTCAATATCAACTTTACAATTTATTTCAAATAACAAGAAACCAATAATAATTAATTTTATTTAATAAACAATTTGTAAATATTTGCATTAGATTTATCATTATAAAAAATTATGGAAATACTGTACCTTGCAAAAAATGTTTTTTCTTTTCTTTTTTTTTTGAAGAAAATACAGTTTCTAAACGGTGCCATCAACTTTGGAGAAATGTAATTTTTACAAATGGCCGAATTCGAGTTTTCCGCCCAAAGAAGTGACGAAATAAATCCAAAAAAAAGAAATCTGCAAATAAAAAATTGTATAAGTATTCTAAATTTTAAATAGTTTAAATTTTATATGCATAAATAATTTTTTAATGTTTTTTAAATAAATTGTAAATTTATCATTATTTATTAGATTTGGATAATATTTCTTTTAATTATATTAAAGATTATAAATTGTTAAATTAAAAATTTAAATAAATAAATTTAATATTGAATTGAATTATATATTATAACAATGATATTATATTCATAATAATATATATTAATAAATTGATAACAAAATTGAAAGAATTATAAAAATAGAGAAATTGTTACTTTAGATTTATCTATTATTGTAAAATTAGCACAAAAGATCAACAATGACACGACGTAACAAACAGTTGAACAAATTGTACAACTATTATAGTTACACAATGTAGAAATTTCATAAATTCCAATATCAAATATTGAAAAAATAAATTTTTTGATCAATCTTCAGGCTGCGTCTACAATAGAAAAAAATAATGTGTAATTTGTAGTGTAATGTGTATTGTTTTTGGCATTGACAACTGTCAGGGTCAATAACACTATATATAACACAATTTTCTACACATTATTTTTTCTGTTGTAGACGCAGCCTCAACAAACTTTGCGGATTGTGTAAAACTTTTAATGAAACAAAGAAAAAAGAAAATTTACCAACCTAACCTGAAAATGTTGCAATTCTTATTGACTGCAAATATAATTAGTATTCATCATAATTTTACAAAATAAAAATACTTAATTGTTCAAACAATAACCAAAATCAAACTTTTTGCAACAAATTTTAAAAAAAAATAAATATTACGTCAAATTTTGTGTATGTTCTCTTATGATTCTTTGACAGAAAACTTGTAAAAGGCATTGAAACAAGACGAACAAGACTTGAACTATTTGTAAAGTTGAAAATAAAAATTTGTAAATACTAGTAAATAATATTAAAACCCGGAAGTTTTGGTACATTTTTCAACAAAATATATGAAATAGTTCAGAATTTTTACGATTGAAAAAAGAAAACAGCGAAAAAAGTCCGCAACCTAACCTTACTTTTAATGTCCGATTTTGATATCCATATTTAGCTCAAGTACAATCATTATTCATCGAAATTTTACCAAAAAAGCATAGCTTAACTGAAATCTGAACATTTTTATTGCAGATTGCAATAAATAGCAATTAAAATCTTACCATTTCTTTGCAGAATGTCGAGGATACGCAGCATACGAAGTGTACGCCAGCGCAAGTGCGAAGTGAAGTACGTAATGCGTGAAGTTGGCTGCGTATCAAGCATGAGTACCAACCCTCAACAATGCCGGAACTATTATTGCGTCCCTTGCGTCCAGATTCGCTACTCAATTCACATTATCTTCGATAATCAATATTCTGTACAATTATGCATATTTTAGTTTCAAAATAATAAATATTACAAAAAATATTCAAGCAAATTGTAAATAGACAAAATATTTTTAGCACCTTGAACGAAAAGTCTAACCTAACCTTCAATTCTAATGTCACTTTAATACAACCATCTCGCACTAGTATTATCATTCTTTATTAAAATTATGCATAATAATCGATCGTCAATATTTCTATTCATCATTTTAACAAGTATTTTAGTAAACAATGGAAAAATCTTACCAAATTTTGTCGAAATCGAAGAGCTCAGATTGCGCAGTGCTCACTTGAAGAGAAGCTTGCAGCCAATATTCTCCTTCATTCTGATTGGCTCCGCAATAAAGCCGAGAGACTTTGGCGGGAATATTTAAATTTGTCTTTTCACGTTTTTGTATCAATCTATTGATAAAAATAGAATTGAATTAAAAAATATTACATATAAAGTTTATATACGTTAGGAGTTTATATAGGTTTATTATTTCTTTAGTTTTTTTTTAATAAAAATAAAAAATTTGTTTTTTATATCATTGAAAATCGAACAGTTATAATAAATAAAATTAAAATTTATTAAACAAAAATAAAAAATAGGAAAAATTATAATTATAGTTATATTTTTATAAAAAAAAATTGAATTCTGTCGTAAAATTTTTTTGATAATAATTGAATTTTTGCAAAGATTTTACTATTTAAAAAAATAATTGAATTGTTTCGAAGGATTTTATTAAAATTTTAGAGAATAATTAAATGCTTTTGAAATATTTAATAACGAATTTTAAAAAAATTGAATTCTTTCGTATTTTTTTTTTTTTTAAATAATTGAATTTTTGCAAAGATTTTACTATTTAAAAAAATAATTGCATTTTGTTTCGAAGGATTTATTAAAATTTTAGAAAATAATTGTATTCGTTCGTGAAACTGGTGAAACTTTATTAAAATTTTGTTTAAAAATAATTGAATTTTTGCAAAAAAAATTGTACTATTTAGAAAAAAATTAAAAAATAATTGTTAAAAAAATATAATGTACATTTATTTAAATTAATTAATTAATAATTTAAATAATTAACATTACTTTTTTTTGAACATTGTTCTTTATCTACAGGTTAATTAAAAATTATTCAAAATTAGTCCCGTAATTTGATTAAAGTTCTTTGGTGTTTCTCTTATCTTCGACATGTTTTTTCGTATGCAGATTGCAATAAAAACTATGAATCAAAAAATTAAAAACAAATCTATTAAAAAATTTTATTTACAACTTGAACTACTTGCCATAAATTATTTTTTCTATACACGGCAAACACCAAGTTAACTTTCTGGTTCACTGTTTAGCCGCCAAATTTTTATAGGGTCATTACCACCTGGTAATAAAAACCGCAAACCGTAAATTAAATCACCTCGCTATAAATCACAATTTTTTTACTCTGTCGCTATGAATTTAGTAGGACTTTTATAACCAATTTTTAGATTCTTGATAAAATGCATCTTTCATCAGTTATTTTATTTTTAAATAATTCAAGGAATTTTTATTGCAATATTTTAAACATATATACTTGAGCGCGGTGTTTTCTTTTATTGGAAGATGAAATATTTTCAATAATGCAGCCTCGTATTTTTTTACAGTTAAATATTGTACGCTCCATTAATTAATGTAAGTTTAAATTAAACAAATATTTTTTTTTTTAAAGGGTAGGAAGGATTTTTATGGTTGTTCTTTATACGGGAAACAAGAGACAATTTTCTAAAGGTATTTCAACCATTTAATAATATTTTAAATGTTTATAGAACAAATAAATTCAATTTAAAAAAGTAATTCACTTGACTGCTTCAATGCATTTATTATTTCCTGAAATTTTTAACTAAAATTCATCTTTAAATCAATTATGTTTAATAATTAATTGAAGAAGTTCTTTGAGAATTTTCAAATCCATTTGTTTACAATTCAATTATACAAAATTTCGATTATTCTAAAACTATTTCAATTAAATATACCTACATCAGAAAATAAAAACTTGAAATAATTTTTAAAAATTTTAATTAAGCTTTTTGAAAAAAATTAGTTCCGAAGAATTTTTAATTGAAAGTATGAAAAATTCAGATTTTCATAGATTTTAATTTGAAACCTTTACAAAATTCAAATGTTTCTAAAAATTCAAATTATTAGTAACTTTTCCAAAATTCAATTATTATCTAAAACTGAATGAAATTAATTTTTAAATTAACTTTTATTAAAAAATTCTAGGGGAGAATTCAATTATTTAAATACAAACATAGATAATTTATTAAATAATTGAATGTTTTGACAAAATTTTTTTTAAATAATTGAATTCTGTTTGGAAATTTTATGAAAATAGTAGATATTAAAAATCATTGAATTGCGAAAAGTTTTTTAAAATAATTAAATTTTACAAAGAATTCAATTAAAATTTTTGACAATAATTGCATGTCTGTGTGGTATTCTATTAAATTTTTTTGAAAATAATTGAATTCCTAAAAATTGTTTTAAATAATTGAATTTCCAAGAAAAAATTTATTACCTTCAAAACAAATTGAATTCTTGTGATAAATATAGTTATTTATGAAAATAATTGAAGCAAAGAATTTTATTAAAATACCTCAAAATAATTTAATTTTCGGGAATAATTTTGTTATTTATCTTTAATAATTGAATTCTTTCAAAGAATTATTTATGTAAATAATTTGAATTCTTGGGAAGAATTTTATTGAAATCTAAAAAAAGAATTGAACTATTTCAAAAAGATTTAATTGAAATTGTATTTAAAATAATTGATTTCTTTTGAAAATTTTTATTAAAATATTTGAAAATAATTGAATTCCTGTGAAAAATTCTAATATTTTTGTAAAAAATTGAATTCGTCCAAAGAATCATAAAAAAACATTTTTTTAAATAATTGATTTTTTCGGAGAATTGAAATTAAAATTTTTAAGAATAATTACATTTTTTTAGCAATTCCTGTAAAATTGTATTAAAAATAATTGAAACCTGCGATGAGTTTTATTATTTATGCAAATAATTGAATAGTTGAATAATTTAAAATTTTCAAAAGTAATTGAATTTCTGTAAAAAATTTTGTTATTTTTGAAAATAATTGAATTATTGCGAAGAATTTTAAAAAAAGTCTAAAACAATTGATTTTTTTTTTGTAAAAATGTATCGCAAATTCTTTTTTTAATAATTGAGTTCTTTTGGAAAATTTTATTAAAGTTTTTGAAAATAATTGAATTCTTGTGAAAAATATTGTTATTTATGAGAATAATTGTCTTATTCCGAATATTTTTATTATTTATAAAACTAATTAAATCCCTAAAATTTTTGTTTAATAATTGAATTCTTTTGGGTAATTTCATTAAAATAGTAGAATATTTAAAATCATTGAATTAAGATAAATTTTTGAAAATAATTGAAATTTTGCCATGTATTTTATTAAAATTTTTGAAAATAATTAAATTCTTGTGATGAATGCTATTATTTATGAAATTAATTTAATTTTGTCAATGAATTTTGCTATTTATTTATAAAGATAATTGAAATATTGACGACAATTTTTTTTTTAATTTTTTGAAAATAATTGAATTTCAGTGAAGAATTTTATTAATTTTGCAAATAATTGAATTCTTGTGATGATTATTGTTACTTATGAAAATAATTGAATTAAAGAATGAATTTTTTTTAAATTCCTGAATATAATTGAATTTTGCGAATAATTTTGCTATTTATAAAAAAAATTTGAAATGTTGACGAGATTTTTTTTCTAATTTTTGAAAATAATTTAATTTCTGGAAAGAAGCAAACGAAAAAGACACAAAAATTCAGAATTTTCTTATAAATTCTAATTGACTGTTTAAACATATTTTTGTTTTATTGCTAAATAATTCAATTCCAATTTCTAAAACTTTTCTTATTCAAAATTTAAATTTAAATTCAAATTGCGTAAAAACCAAATCAGAATAAGGTTACAAAATGTTTCATTTGTAACCAAATAAAAATAATAAATAAATATTGAATAAATAATAAATAAATAATAAAATAAATATTTGAATAAAAGTACAAATAAAATATGTAAAAAAAAATTAAACCCACTGATGTAAATTTTGTCACAATCATCACAAATATTTATACATCTGTCAAAATATTATACTAACAATTGCGAATGTTTGCAAAATTGATTTTTAAATATTCCTTTTAATAAAATTATTCACATTTCAAATTATTCAATGTTTCTTAAAATTGAATTCTCATAAAGAATTTTATCAAAAAAATTCTTAAATACATAATTCAATTCTGTTGATAAATTTTAATAAAATTTTTAAACATAATTACATTTTTCGAGGAGCTCGATTAAAATTGTATAAAAAACAATTAAAATTCAACGATGAGTTTTATTTTATTTATGAAAATAATTGAATTCCTAAAATGAATTTTATTATTTATGAAAATAATGAAATTTCTGCGAAAAAATTTATAAAAAATATGTAAATAATTGAATTTCTATATCAAAAAGTGTATTATTTTTATGAAAATAATTAAATGTTGGCGTAGAATTTTATACAAATTTTTTTTAACTAATTAAATTCTTTTGGAAAATTTTATTAAAAATATTTTTTTATTAAAATATTAAAAATCATTAAATTGAGGAAAATTTTATGAAAATAATTGAATTTCGGAGAAGAATTTTTTTTTATAAAGATAATTGAAATTTTGACAAGAATTTCAAAAAATTTCAATATAATTGAATTTATACGAAGAATTTTATTACTTTTTAAAAAAATTGAATTTCTGCAATCAATTGTAACTTTTCAATAATTCAATTTTTTTAGTGTTTTTAACTAAAATTCTTCTATAAATCCATTATTTTTAATAATTAATGAAATATATATTGATAAATTTAACTAATTTTGGAAGATTTTGAATTATTAAAATTTTTCAAAAATCTAAGTTCTTTAAAATTACTAATTAAATTCATTCAACATTGAAATTTTATAAAATTTTAAATTGTAACCATTTGAAGTTCATTTATTTATGAAAATTGTAAACGCAACTTTTTTAAAATTGAATTAAATTTGAAATATTTAAGTAAAATTATTCATTAAATAATTTATTTATTTTATGATAGTTGTTCAAGATTTAAGTAATTTAAAAAGAAATTTTTGTCAGAAATTGAAAAAATAGGTTTTGTATTAAAATTCGTGGTAATTTTCTAATTTATGAGTCAAACGAAAAATACACAAAAATTCAGAATTTTCTTATGAATTATAAAAGTTTAATTTTTTCCAGTACTTTTCAT